CCCCCCCCCCCGCGCCCCCATGCCCCTTTCCTCAGCATCATCCCCCACATCATGCGTGCAGAGGGTGACAGCGTGCGCCGTCTCCAGAAGCGCCCTGCGCGCGCGGACGGCGACCACGCGCGCCTGCTGCAGGAGTCCTAAGTTCTCGTCCGTGGGGGTCCTCGCACCCCAACGCCGCGGCAGGGCGTGCGGCGCTTGTGACAACGGGCTTCCCTCCTCCTCCTCCTCCTCCTCCTGTCACCTTCATGGGAGCCCCGGTGGGGCGCGGGGATGCCGTCCACCTCTGCGGTTGTACATGTATCCATGTTGTACATGTACATGTATTTATGTTTTTGGAGCCCGCCGTGTGTTTTTGCTCCTCGTGAGGTCGGTCGGCGCGGTTCAGAGGCGGCGCTGGAAGCGGATGTACGAGGTTGCGTGGCGGCCGAGTCTTTTTTTGGCTGCGGTTCGCGACTCGCTTTGCCGAGCGAAGGTTGGTCGCACGTGCCAGTGTGGCCAAGGTGACCTTGGAAAGGGTGTAGGGGACATGTCTGACTGTGACCCCTGCAGTGTTGCTAAGGGGAATAGGTCGGAGATTAGCAGCGGGCAGGAGCCCCAGGAAAGCCAAAGGCAGCTGAAGATCGGGAGCCGGGAAAGCTTCGCCCGGCTACGTCGGTAGCATAAGCAATAAGGTGTAAGGTTAACTCTGCCTGTAAATCTGTACAGGCCCGAATCCTGCAAGCTGTCTGTGTTTAAAACTCTCGTACAAGTTGGAAACTTTCTGCCTAGTAGGGGCTGGTGGGTGAGTTGCTTTATTGGGATGTAGATTAAATACAGTCAAATCCTGGATGAGGGATTTAGGCTGTAATCATGCAGTCCTTTGCAAGAATAAACCATTGGGGTCAGTGGCAAGTGCCTATGTATTTGCAGGACTTTGGAGTTGAAATATAATTTCTCTGAGATGACAGACGTGAGGGGTAGCATTGACTTGATCCTGTGTAATTTGGGCTTTTCAATAAACTGATTTACTATGGATCATAGTTCACATTGTAGTGAATACTAGTGGTTGATTAAATGTAAAAACAACCCCTCACATCTCAGTGCTTTTTTGTTGTAATGATTTTGACTTATGTGCTTATTTGCCTTTAATGGAGCAGCATTCGTGGACTTTATCCTGCTAATATCTGAAATATTTCAGTTTACAAGAATGTCCTTAGTGTTTCATAGATATTTCATAGACGTTAGGGCTGGAAGGGACCTCGGGGGCAGGAAGTCAGCTGGGGTCAGAGGATCCCAGCAAGATAAATGTCCAAATGTAGATTTGTTCTGTGTGCAGCTTGAGCTTGTCGGATTGCAATAGTTATTGCATGGCAATAATTCGGTTTGTTTGCATAGCGTCCCTTGCCCCAAGGAATTTAAAATCTGGTTTAGATGCTACCTAGGACAGACACATGGTATGCTCTGGATGACATTGCAGAGAAGAGCATTGCTGGCAGGTTTTATGGGAGGAAGGTGTCTACCAGGGAGACTTGATAAAAGGGAGCAAGGTCCTGCTTTGCAAAAGGATAAGTACCTGGAAGTGTAAAGGCCTTGTGATTTTGAAGGATTCAAAGGCAGCTGGGAAGAGGACGGCTTGAGAAGCACAGAGGGAGCATAAGAGTAAGTAAGGGGAGGATGAGAGCAAAAGTACAGACAAGTGGATAACGCGTCTCCTGTATGGACACCAGCCAAATATTGTCAGTTTACTGTTCTGGCTAACTGCTGATTTTTTACAAGCAGAGTGCAGAGTCCAGCTGGAACGTCTGAATTAGACAGGATGCCAGGTTATTTGGGAATGAGGAGAGCGGTTAATTATTCTTCACTATAAATATGCCTTTTGCCTTGTAGCCCATGGTTCTAAATTTAACTCTTTTGTCATGGATGAGGCGGCTCTGTCCCTGGGAACAATAGATGTTTCCTATTTGTCCACTTCAACAGAATACAGTGTGGGGAGATGTAAGCACCCCAGTGAAGAGTGGGTAAGTAAAAATATGGCTTCAGTAATTTCTTTCTATAAGAGAGTACTTTTTTTTTTTAACAGCTGAAAGCAAGGAAAGGAATTTTCTCTCTCTTGTGCATTGCACCAGTTCTGGCTGTCTTTGGCTGAGGACCTGGTGATGAACCAACAGCATAAGGGAGTGCCTGAGACTAGTATAATTATTGTATGTATAATTATTGTAATTGTGTACATAATTATTGTAATGGTCCTAAGAAGCTTAGTGTGGGAACCAGTTAAGGGTGGACTTGTTCGAAAGACACAGAAGAAAAGAAAAAGACCAAGATGGAACAGGGATTGTGGAATGTAAAAACAATAGCTTGGGTTTTTTAGGGAATAGGTGAATATCAATGGTTTCTTAGCAGAGATGGAGGGAATTTAGTAGAAATTAAAAGGAAGGCTTTTTTAAGTATACAGGGCATTGTGTGGAGACTGGGTTTGGAGCAAAGGGGGCAGTGAGTGTAAAAGCTTGGGTGGAGCAAAAAGCAAGATTGGGGGGTGTAAGAGGATCTGAGTTAATTGCATATGCACAATGGAACTGTTCAGTGCGCTGAAGAGGAGGGATTTGAACTTGGTACAGAAGAAGAGTTGAAAGCATGGTCAGAGTTGGGGGAAAGGATTATTATTTTGACGATTGTGTACTGGATCCATCTAGAGGCAGGAGAGATGAGAGAGGGCAGGCTGTAGCCATTGAGGCGAGTTTACGAGAGAACAGAGATTCTATTTTGGCAGTTAAAATGGAAAAGAAGGAATTTTTCTTGGGAAACTAGAGATGGGTTTTAGCATGTCTAACTTGGCTAGTCCTGTAAAGAACGGTGTGTCATGATACTGGTTTTCAATATGCCATATACAAGAGAACTCTAGCTTTCTTGTTCCTGTAATTATATATGATATTCTGTACTTCCAATCTTTAAAAAATAGCCTAATTTTCAAGAAGGCTTTAACATAATAGCTCTGTTTGTACGTTTGCATGTGACAGTTGGAACATTACTGATAAAGACCATAGATCTGATTGTGGTTTTGTATGTTTAGTATTACTACAATTTTAAAGGACATGCTTGAGAAACTAGGTTTTTGTTTTTGATTTTTACATAATTAACAACTTTTAGTTATTAAAATTAAATATAACTCACTGGTCATTCCATTTTTGGTTTGCTTTTTGCATTTCGCTAATGTCCAAAAATGAAATGCACAGTTAATTTTCCACTTGTTTCCCATTTGTATTTAATATAATCATATACCTGCAAAATTCTGCAGTGTGGGAGAGACAAATAGCATAGCAGATTGAGTGTGGGTGCGTGTGTGTGTTTTCAATTAGGGCAATTACATTTTTAGGGGAAAAAAACATAGGAAAATATATAGATTTTGTTTAAGAAATGTTAACATGTCCATTTAAAACTTAAAATTTTTATCAATGGGAAATGCATCACTTTTGTAAGTCTTCACATAGTGTTTTGTGATTTCCTAGGGAGAGTGCAATTCCAGGCCTACCGTCTTTCGATCTGCCACTTTAAAATGGAAGGAGACCCTGCTAAGCAGAAAAAGGCCATTTGTGGGGCGCTGTTGCTATGTGTGCACTCCTCAAAGCCGGGTAAGAAGATTATGAACTAGATTATATTTGACAATAAGAACTGAAGCACATGATCACAGCGCAACAGAGTTCAACACTTTCCTCACTTTCAGATTAAGGTCACCGTGTTCTAATTTGTCCTGGGACAACAATTCTCACTTTTCTTATTTGCCTTGTGGTTTTACGGTGTTAAAAATTATCATAATGTTTAGAGATGGAAAAGGCCAGCGAGTCATCTTTTCTCTTTGTCTTCCAGTGCCAAATGTTTCCTTGCAATAAGTTGTCCAACTTTGACAAATCCCAGTGGGGCTGGGCTTTGAGCTATGAAAACTTTGAGATGCAGGGGTTCCTTATCTGATATCTAAGATGAGTTATGGTGCACGTTATTCATGTGAATCTGGTGCTCATGGAAAGGAATTAAAATTAATAGTTCTAAGATTCAAGTATGTACAGCCAGAGCATTAGTCACATCCCAGCTATATGTTGCACCTCTGACCTCATAAAGCAGCTTCTAGGATTTGATAGGCAGCTGAGTTTCTAGAACCAGACAATTCCAGGCTTGCTTACTGAGCCTGCAGCACAGGTCCTTGCTGCTGTGTAGTTAATTCTGTATCAAGCCCAATAACCTCTGTATGGGTAAATAGATGTGTGCTCATTTGCTGAGGTCTTTGACAAGAGAAAATTTTTCCTTCCCTTTAATTCCTGTCACTGGTGCGGGAATGAGCAATAACAACAAATAGGCACGGGATAAAACTGTAAATACATTATGACAGACTGTCCTGGGTGTAGGGTATAAATATAAGTAACTAAGTTGAGCTTGTGACACATACTTAAGGGGTTTGTTATTTTAGAGCTGGGTAAGAAAAATTTCTGCAAAAATTTCACAGTTCCTTTTTTTTTTTTTTTTTTAATTCCTTATCAGGATATAACCAAGACTTTAAAGTTTTTTGGCGAGACAGGGACTTAGGCACCCCATAACAGGCAGTAGCTGACTGCTTAGGGTGCTCACCTGGATGTGGGGCACCCAGTTTCAAATCCTTGCTTTTCCTGTTTCAGACTCAGCCACACAGAGAGGCTGCCTGTGCCATTTTTGGCGCACATGCCACAGATTGGCTACCCTTGGCCTAGGTGAATGCTGTAACTAGTGGGACCGTGGAAGAATTATATACGTAAACTAAGGATTTAATGCTTCTCCAGATGAAATGTATATGGGCTCCATGCCATTTTTTTTACAGTCCTTTCACATGAGAACCTCAATTGAAGGTGACAGAGAAAATACTTAATCATTGGATTCCAGTCCAGTGATTTTTGATACAGATTTTTATGCCAGGTCTGATTTGAGGGGAATGGCAACATCAGGGTGTTCTACATCCTTTACAAACTGTGTTGAATAATGTGTTTGGAAGGGTAGCAATGGATACACATGCCTTGTATTTAGCATTAAAGCACAGTTTTATAACATGCTGGGTCACTTCTTGCTTCCTGCTGCTGGAAGGAGAATCACAAATAGTTCTAATGCCTAATTTCATATGCAGGGGTTTTCATTGGTGAATCGCACAGTGCTTTATTAATGAAGGTGAATAAGAAAACCTAGGAACCGAGGAGGCTGGACTTGCCCAGGGTCACTCAGTGGCAGATCCAGGAATAGAATTTGAGTCTCCTGAGTCCCAGTTATTTGGTTTATTCATGAGCCTAGTGCATCTCTTCACATGCTGTGTTTCTCCCTCACTTTGCATTGTTCCTCTCTGTAGTTTTTTCCCATCCCTATTTTGGCCACGTTCCTGAGTCTTTCTACCAGAAATAGAATTAATTAGTAACTTGCTTGACCAGTTTAGCAATAAAGAATATAACACCTGGTATTGCCTGATTTGTTGGTATCTGCTGCGGCAGTGGCATTTTCAGTTTGGGGTAGGAGCTGATAAGAGACTTGATTGTATTGTGAATCCTTTAGGAGTGAGTTCTTTTTTCTCAGGACCTGAATGATCCACATACATGTATTCCTTTGTCCATAACAAAATACAGGGTTCTGTTTTTGTCTTGTTACAACAGATGTTTTAACTCAAGGGAAGATCAGCATCAGTTACTGATTAGAGAAACAGGCTGTAGTGCAAACTCTAATCTTTGTAGACTCTTTGCTTGAGCCACAGTGCTTTTAAATTTTCAGCCATCTGAATGTGGCCTCAAAATTACCAGTCTTGAAACATTGCCTCTTTATTTGTCTTTGCACAACTTCATAGTTTGCTCATAGTAAAATGTTCCAGCTTTGTAAATACACTCTAAACTCCCTGATATCAAGTGATTTTTTTTTTTTTTTTTTTTTTTAAGATATTTCTGCTTAGGGAAAAAGATCATTGTTTGTGGTACACATGCAATGAAGTGGGCAAACTCAGCTCCATGACCCTGGCCAATGGTCAGATTTTCTATAATATCTATTCTGTGTGCTCAGACTGGCTGAGCTAGATAAAACTTATCTTTCTTTGGTTCTTCTGTGTTTTTTACTGACTGACTAACTTCACCTTTTGGGGAAAAAAAGATTCTTTCCTTTTACAGGGGGCATATGTACTTAAACTGTCACTAATAGCATTTCTTGCTTTTTGCGCAATAAGCCTTCCCTGGGAATGTGTCTCCACATGCAACCTGTTGGGAGCAGCTCAGTACAGGGCTGCTCCTGCCCTGCTCTGCCCCCCTGCAGCAGCCAGGGGGAGCTCCAGGCTCCCCCAGGGTGCTAGCTTGGGGGCTGGCAGAAAGCATGGGGGCCAGTCCTGTGGGGCCTGGGGCCAGGAGAGCTTTGCCAGTTGCAGTGACAGCTATCTCCTGGCTTCATGCACATTGGGAGGGGTCCTAATGTGCATGGGGCTGGGAGATGCATGCAGCTTGCATACGCACATTGGGACACACAGCTGCCAGTGAGCCTGGTGCCCAGTGCCCACTGGTGTCCAGTGGGGTTTCCCTACCCAGGAGAGGGCTCATTGACAGCTGCCCCGTAAACAGGACAGCTGCTGGTGAGCTCCTGGCTGAGCAGGGAAGCAGAGAGCTCTCCAGTCCCGGTGCTGCTTGGGTTGCTCCTGTGAGGGGCTGGAACCGCACAGTGCTGGGATGGGAGAGAAGGGGGAAGCAGAGAGGTACCCCGTCTCAATGCTGATTGGCTCCCAGCTCCAGGGGGGAGCCAGGAGCTGAGCAGCACCAGGACCAGAGAACTTCCCCATCCTCTGTGGCCCTCTGCTGGTGGGGCTGACCTGGAGCAAATGTGTTCCTGGTCAGCATGTACACGAGCACTACCGCACAGTAACTACCGCACAGTTAATCTAGTAACTGTATTTACAGGTGCTAGCTAACTGCTCTGTAGACTGATTTACCGCACAGTAAATGCCCCATATGTGTAAATGTCTTGTGTAGATGCACCCACTGATGACTTCATTGTGCACCGATGTCTACTGAAAGCACTGGTTATGCGTGCACTTGAGGATGAGTGCAGTCAGACCAGTGTATATGGAGCCAGGATGCTCCTGAGTTTTCATCACAGCTCTGATACTAACTTCTCTGTTCATGGAGAAACTACTTAATTAATCTTGCATTGCTTTTTCGGTCTTAGACTGAATGTCTTCCTCTTTGATCTTAAATGTTTTTGTTAATATGAAGAAATGACCACTGCTGTCTTTTAGTTAATATGAAGCCTTCCAATTAAGTTTTTTCACTTGTTTTGTTTCTGTAGGATAAGCTCTTCAATGCTAGTATTCCTTCTTTGGGCTTACGCAATGTCATATACATCAATGAAACACACACAAGGTAAGTAACCAGCTGTCTCCATTTTAATTCATGGCATTTTCTTTTTCTTTAAATGTTACAGCATAAGCCACTTGATGTCCATAGGTGTAGTGGACAGCCATTTAAATCCTGCAAATGGCACTGACCATGTGACAGATACCATTGGTTTTGATATCAAAGGCACTGTTTAAGCTGATTTGAAGTGTCTGCTAATTTGTGTGGGAGCAGCCTCTTTTCAGGCTTTGGCATCTCCTTAATGCTCCTTATGTTTTCATGCCTTGCCTCTAATAGCAGCTGTGAAATAGGCCATGGCTAGTTTCAGGACTTCTAATAGCACAGTATCTGACGATAGTTGACATAAGCAAGAGGTATCAATCAGCCAGCCCGCATGTGGGGCAAACCTGCTCTGTGTGGCATAGGCTGTCCTGTGCTTTGGATCTCTTGTCATGGAAATCTTGAAGACGGATTAAACAACCTCCTGAGGGATACCTTGAGACCATGATGAGCAGGAATCATTCTGACTTTATAGCAAAGAAGAGATGTCATTTTGGCAAACTGTGGGTATATTTTGAAGCAATACACCTACTGCTGAGGCTCACACTCAGTTTGCCTTAAATAGAGCAGGGGTTGTCAAAGACATTGCCTGTGGGCCAGATTTGGCCTGTGGAGCCACATCATTTGGCTCCCAGTACTGGCTCTGGTGCACTGGCTGTGCGCACTAGGGTCAGGACATGTGCTGTGCATGGCATTTGCTCTGGGACCCATGCTGCATGCAACACCCATGTTAGGGCCAGTCCTGAACCCTCCCCCCCTCTCCTCTACCGTGTTGAATCCAGCGACCTCAGCACCTACTCTGGCCAGTCCAGGACATCAGTTGCATGTGGCACCTGCATCACCCAGTCTGGGGTGAGTGCTGTGTGCTGCATAGGTCCCCAAAAAGGATCTATGTGGGGTGTGGTCCCAGACTGGCCAGAGGATGCATTGGATCTGGCATGCAGTGGGGATGGGGGGAATGTCGTCCATGAGTTGTCCTCATACCAGGCCCAGGACCAATTGCAGCCGGTCCAGAACCTGCACTGCACAGGTGCCAGGCCCAGACTGGCCAGAGCAGGTGCCATGGGTGCTGGATCTGTCATACAGGGGTGGAGGGGGTGTCTGTGGGCCTAATCTGGCCCGTGGGGCCAGCCCCACAAATTCCTCTGGCCTGTGGACCAGTTTGGTACCAGGCCAGATGAGTTTGACACCCCTGGAATAGAACATAGTTCATGTTTAATAAGGAGTGAGGGTGAATCCCAGGGTACCTACAATACTTTGATTTGAATGGTTAGATTTTTACATCAAATTAAAGGTAAGCATCCAGAAACTAGAGATGAAACTAATCAGGCATTCTTGTGCTCACCAGTTTGCATGATTGAAGTCTGCAACATGCAATTTATTGCAGTTTAGCAGACAATCTCCACTTTTGCAGATGATAACCAGAGGATAATAGTTAGAATAACAGTTATAGATGAAAACGGCGTCAGTTTGAGACCTTGCTGCTTTCATGACAGAATGCAGTCCCTCAGTACAGGGTGCATGAGGTATTAAACTGTTCTGTCAAATTTGTTCTACTTTAATTGGTTTCGCATCTCACAATATGAAACTTCTTTCAAAGTAAATGAAAATGTTTTGTTACTGTGTTGCCTGAGAAGTTGATTCTTCTGACAGTTAATATTTTTACAATAATCATTAAGATAAGGAAATTCAGTAGTAGTATTCATTGTACATTCAGACCGAACAAGAACAGGCCTGTAGGCTGAAGGAAATGAGCCAAAATGTCTGAGTGAAAGAAAGACAGTATTGTGTCTTGTTTGAGTGGGAGAGAAAATTCAGAACCTAGTTCTAGAGAGTGTTCCTTCTTGATAAAATTGATTATTTGTGGGGGGAGAAATGGGGAGAGGGAGTTTAACCAGCATCCCAGAATGCTGAAAAATACCTGAAATTCTAAGATGAAAAAGTGTGCACGTAACTTTATGCATAATTATAGTTATAGAGGAAGTTGTGGTGCTCTATATGTCTTATTGCTGTGACTGTTTTTTCAGTTTGAGTCAAACGATGATTTTCCTAATTGCCAGTGGACAGTAATGAGATTCACCTGTTTAAATAAAGAGCGTACACTTTTGTTTAGAAGTCAACCAGCCATTTCAAATTCCTTTAGAACTCATGAATGAGTATCATCCTTCTCATTGTGTTTCATCCCCTCTTTCTTCAGCAGAGTATTTAGTATTATATTGAAAATGAATGATCTCAACCAAATAGATTCCAAGAATACAAGGTAGTTACTTAGGCATTGTTTTTTCCTTAGCTGTAAAAATCCATGTGCTCTGATTAGCTGCTGGTATTCACATAATGAACCCTCAGTCTGTATGCAGTTTTCAGTTTCCTGTCATCACTACCAAATTAGATAGTATAGATTTGCATAATTAGCTTACCGTTTTTTCTAGGGCACGCATTGCATATGCAAATCTTTCTACTCTGACAGGCTGTTCGAATACCTCAGCATTAATTTGAAGAGAGATTTCTCAGCCACCTAACTATTTACCAGTGACTAACCCATCTCCTCAGCTTTGCCCTGGGATGAACTGGAAAAATGCCCGTTTAAAAGAAGAAAAAAATTAGAAAGGCAATGGAAACATGGACACCAGAGAGTTTAGAGAGAGGTTCTTTTCAGTGGGCTAATGAAGACTTTTTGTTCCCAGAATAACTAATTAAAATTGATAGCATTATTACATACCTGCTTGCTTTGTGTGTGTGCTTGCCCTGCATGCATATACATGCACCGTTTTTTGAACAGCCTAACTTTGAAATTCCATGACCTTTGTATTTATTTGCCTGACACTTTCCATTGCGACAGATGCTTTTAGTGATTCTTGGTAAGCACAAGCACTTCTCTTGTTTGCCTTTGGATTTTGAAATTTGTCAGGGGCCAGCTTTGGGACCAAAAGAATTGCCTTTTTTTTTTTTCTTTTGTCCCATGAAATTATATTCAGGTGTGATTGAGAGAGAGGAACCTGCTATTTCTGTTTTATGACTTATATTGTCAGTGACATTTTTGGGCAAGCGCCAAAGTTCCAACTTTACAAGAAGCTGGAAAGGGTCACTATACCCTGCACTTCCCTGCTTTGTTATCTTTTACTCCTCTCCCAAGGTTCAACACACGAGAGAAATATATTTGCTAGATGACCTAGTGGGGATGTGGGAGAGAGAGACAGAGAAGGCCGGGCTGCCCTTGTTCCTGCCCCAAGCCTGCCTGTGGCCATAGCCTGTTCAGGATAACATCCTTCTGCTGCTGCCAGCTAATGGTTTGAGCTTTGTAGATGAAGCTTTATTGCAGTGTTGAAGGTGCTGTCAATGATAAGCGGTCAATGATGCACAAAAGTGGGGGTTATTATAGGTGCATGCGATTGAATTTGGTTTTGACCATTTTTTCTTTTAAAAACGGAATTTTATCAAAAAATATTAAAAGCTCAAACACGCAGAATTTAGGTATGTTAGAATGTGGGCCGCCCGTTATTATGTTACTCCTTAATTACATGACCACAGAATTCCTGAGGTCCTGTGACGGGATCAGGGTTGGGCGTATAGAGTAGTTTGGGGCTGTGTTGGAAAAGTACTTATTTGCAAGATCTTGTCTATCTTGAGACAGAATGAGATAGGAGCTACAAGAGGAGCAAAGATGGTGGACTCCAAGATGAACATGAGTCATCAGTGTGACGAAGTCATCAGGAAAGCTAACGGCACTTTATTGTGCATCAGCAGATGCATGACGAACAGAAGCAAGGAGGTGATACTTCCCCTCTATCGGGAGCTGGTCAGACCACAGTTGGAATACTGTGTGCAATTTTGGGCACCACACTTCAAGAGGGATGCGGATAACCTGGAGAGGGTCCAGAGAAGGGCCACTCGTATGGTTAAGGGCTTGCAGACCAAGCCCTGTGAAGAGAGACTGGGGCACCTGGACCTCTTCAGCCTCCGCAAGAGAAGGTTGAGAGGCGA